AAAAAAGCTCAAACAAAAGGTGACCTGTAGTTTGGTAACAGCAGGTGTCTCTCTTTCCATTTACTTAAAAATGATGTTTTTGGTTTTACATTTATGCTTTTAAATCAGTTAGATCTTACATGCTGTGAGCAACCGATCATTTGAGCTGAAGTTCCTCCGAAAACATGATGATGATGATGATGATGATGATGAAGGAAGGAAGGAAATAGAGGACATGGGCCCACCGAGGAGTCTGTTCTTGAAACATAAACGCGCAAAGTCCTTTAAATGTTTTTTAAATATCAAACCAACTGAAAAATGTACCTTAAGAAACTTTTTAAAAGAAGTTCTATATATATAGGATATTTAATTATTACCATGAGGATATTATGATGCTTCCATTACCAATATGTTCGGACATGTCCTAATGTAAGTTATTACTTACTGTACTGTACTGAATATACCCATCATTACTAATTATAATCACTGGCATAATGTTTGTGGCAGAATATAGAGATCACTCCCAAAATGACCGAGAGCCGCCGGTCATGCGTCCAGCGGATGCCATGTTTACCTCTTACCCTGCCCGACGCCCGCTGTCCTGGTGTGGCCCGTATCCAATCAGAGGCACGCACACTCCGTTGAGCTTCTTGGCCAATCAGCTGTCACACACACCTGCCTAACTGCGCTGTGATCGCAGGTTAACCAGTAAACCCACACGGTCCCGCCGGGTAACAAACCCGCCTGCAGACTAACAAAGATCAGCAGGCACACAAACTGCTCCACGGTGACTCCTGTGATAAAACTTTGCTTTATTCACAATTAGAGATCTGTCGTTGTCATATTTACAAATACATAATGCAAGTAGGTACACTAAGAGACGGAGAGCAGAATTTACATCGGTCGACCCCGCCCTCTCCAGAAAAACAAAACAAAACCTGAATTATAAAATTAATAAACGCAGTGATTTTGCAAAGCCAGGTCCCCACCCAACTTTTCAAAGAGTGACTTCAGGGCCTAAAGGGGGAGTCTTGGATCAGCGCACCTGATCACCCCGAGTCACACCTTTGTTCCGTGTTTGGGTTGCTGTCGCGCGCGCTGCCTAATGAAGCCACGTTTACGACGACACTAAAGACAGCTGGCTCCTCTGACGTCACCTGGCGGGTTATTTAAGCACATTTGTCTCCGAAACCTGCTCAGACACACATTTATCTCCCCTTTCAAAATAAATCACTAAACTGAGAAGGTAAAACATTAATTCATTAGAAGCTCGACTTGTGGGGTCGATCCAAGTGTGTCGCGTGACTTTAAATACATCCCGAGGTTGTTTGGTTTCAATGAAAACATTAAATCTTCAGCATCCCGTAAACTTCTTTGACACCACCCACATTAATGAGCGAGATCACCATTTGTAAACCGAAACTGTGACGTGTCGTGCCTTTCACTTCGTCATCAATCACATGATCAGCCCTGTGCGACAACAATCATACCGGTAGGAAGGCTCGATCGTGTCCTTAAAGGAGCAGGCCACCGATTCGTGACAGCAAGACGGCTCATCAAAACCAAAAACAGGTTACACTGATTACAGCAGGGGCTGGAGCTGTGAAGAAAATGAAAGCTGCTGAACAGATGCATCGTGGGGGGGTTTCACAAATCTAGAGGAATTTTCTTTTTCCCCCTCCTCCTCTCTCACTTTTACAGGAAATGCAACGTAAAAATTAAAAGGAAAATCTTTCTGATAATCTTCAAAGCTGTTGGAGAAATGTTTGGCACCGATGTACACTGAGGGAGCAGGCCGTCAGACGAACAAAAGGTATTAAAGGGCTACATGAAACAGGGGCTGATGGGAAACATGATAAAACACACACAAAAAAAATGTAATTTTTTTCTGTCAAGTACAGTTTGATCGAAAACAGCAGCCCAGACCTCGTGTACCCTTTAAACGAGTTAACCTCACTGCCCATCTGTGACCTCCAGATGAAAGTGAACAGCGGGTCAGACAGATGTGGGTTGTTGCGTCTCG